TCCCACAATTGCTTCATGAGTTCCATGGAACTGCAGTGGGAGGTCATTCAGGAGTGCTAAAAACCTACAAGAGACTAGCGGTAGAGCTGTACTAGAAAGGTATGCATAGGGATGGGGAAGAGATGGTATCCAGGTGCGAGGTGTGCCAAAGGAATAAGTATCTAGTTATGTCACCAGGGGTTGTTACTGCAGCCATTGGCGTTACCAGGACGAGTCTGGGAGGAGATATCTATGAACTTCATTGATGGGCTACCCCGCTCTGAGGGATTCACTGTGATTTTGGTGGTAGTGGATAGATTGAGCAACTATGCTCACTTTATTCCTCTACGCCATCCATACACTGCGGTGACAGTAGCGTCAGTTTTCATCAGGAAGATAGTCAGATTACACGGAGTGCCAGAGGCAATAGTATCAGACAGGGATAAAGTGTTCCTCAGCCATTTCTGGAAAGAATTGTTCAGACTGCAGGGTACTGTGTTGAAAAGGAGTACTGCTTACCACCCACAGATGGATGGTCAAACAGAAGTAGTCAACCGGAGCCTGGAAACTTATCTGAGATGCTTCGCATCAGAGACACCCAAGTTATGGGCTAAATGGCTATCATAGGCCGAGTACTGGTACAACACCTCTTTTCATTTAGCCTCTCAGATGACCCCATTTAAGGTGTTGTACGGAAGGGATCCGCCCCACTTGATGCATTTTGGGAGTAGCAGCACGCCCGTTTATTCAGTGGAGGAGTATTTGGAGGAGAGGGATAAGACAGTGGAAGAGTTAAAAAGACATGTTGAGGGCTCAACAGATTATGAAGAAACAAGCTGATGGGCATCGGAAGAATATTCAGTTTGAAGCTACTCCAACCCTTTCACGTATATGCTCGTTTCACATTTTGTTTTTAAGTAAAGTCACTCATCCACCTAAGCATCCTCATCTCTGCAATCTTCGTTCTTCTGAACAATTAAACTTAGTTGATTGTAAAGGAGGTGCCACATGTCCCGAGGAATAATTGATGGCACTAAGAGATAGAAAGAGAGAACGCAATGAAGAGCCTTCAACTCAAGTTATTATTCACTTGGGGGAAGAAGATAAAGAGATGAAAGTGTCATCAATTAGTTGATCACAATACAGGTTTTGAATGCCAAGGAGACTAGGAGACACTCGATATCTCTTTACACATGAGAAGGCAAGAATGGAGAAGAACATGACATATAATAATAAAAAAACTATATGGTTCAACTTTATAGCCTAAGTCCATGGTGCGATGAGAAGGATGCATCCACCATGAAATAGGTAAATAATAAAAATATAGGGAAGTCCCACTTCCCCCATCGGATAGAACATGATGTGTAAGAGATGAGGAGAAAGGAAAATGAGAGATCTCCATACATGAGTTTAGTCTTAATATTTGAATGATCGCCTACAATGTTATAAATAATTGTTGAATGATAGCCTACAATAATCGTCTACTATGTAGATTTACTTATAATAATATGAGAAGCGATAAATTCAATCCGAGTTGAGCCCAAGATATCAGGCTAACTGAATTGGGAGAGGCTATAGAGCTTATCTTAGACTAGACTGGCAAATTCAAGCAGCATGGAGGTCCTTTTAGGCATTGACTTTCTCTAAGGGTACCAGCTTAGTGTGCCAACTATTTAACATGTGTAACACCAAATTGGGTACCAAAAAAATAGGCATTATAAATCTTTCTTCTTTACTTGAGTAAATTTAAATTCAATTTATTAATAACTTTTATCTTTTGTTGGTTCTAAGATGACGAGCCACAGCGAAATCTAGGTTGATTCCCTACTTTTGGCAAAATTCTGTGACTTTTTTGGAATCAAATTATAGTTGTTGTCAGTGATGATAACAAATGATAAGCTATATTGATAACTGATGTCGTTTCAGATGAAATTTCACATAATGATGGAAGTAGCTTTGGCAAGAGCTTGAGCCCCAATCCAGTTTGTGAAGTGGTTGATAATGGCAAGCACAAACAATTCTTGTCCCCTAAATCGCAAGAACACATCGAGTACATCCATATCTCTGACATTGAATGGTGATGGACTACAGATTTGATGGGACTTATGTGAAAGTTGCAATTGCATTGGAGAAAACATTTGATATTAGCCTATTGCTTGGAGAATTCCTGAGTCTCTTCTCAACTTCAGCTAGAACTAAGCCTTAACAAAGTAATTGCTAGGAGAGATTCATCATTCTGGAGTGCCTACCAAGCTACCTTGAGTGTATCTCCTTCATGATATTCGCAACTTCTTCAGAAACACATCTTCAGTAAGGTATTGGCATTAATCTTCAAAATATATAGTCATAAACTATCAATATTAAGTGAAATTAATTTTGAATCTTTTAACATCTCCAAAATAGTAGGGTGCATATTTGATTGTGAGTATTCAATAAATGGATTCATCCAGCTCGGGGTGAGTTCAACTAAGATCAGCTCAGGTTCCTCAATGCTACGAGAAAGAACTCTTCATCAGTAAAACTAATTGAACCTTCAAACTCAGACAAAACGACAGAGTTAGTTCTGCTCTCTTGAAATCTGTTGAGTTTAGGGTTGAAACTCAAGCTTTTTATTCATCAAAAACTTGATGGACAATAAGTTACAAGTCCAAAATCCTACGAGATGTGATGCGGTTGTGGACCCCACCCTCCTGGCCAGCAGATCGAATGCCTAGGGGGGCTCAGCAGAATTCCAGGAGCTGAAAGGCTCCTGTTTTGTGGGTCCCAATACCCCATTTCAATCCTAGAGTAGGATAAGAAATAAGAGGAAAGAATTGGAGAAAATGTGAGGTGCATTTATGATGAGATTATGACAGGTTTTAAGTGGGAAAGTTTGTATGTAGGGAAGATTATGTGAAGAATTTTCTGCAGCAGTTTTTTCGAGGGATATTGGGTTCCTAGTTGCTGCTAGGAATTGGGGGAGAGCCGATTCACCCCTCGAACAGTGAATCAATTGAATCTTGTATTTCTTTTGATTGAAGATTGTTATTTCAGCTTTATTAGTATTGTTCATGTATATTATTGTCACTTTTTTTCTTGGTTGGTGGCTATTCAAATTTAATTCACAAATTAAAATATTCAAATTTAATTATTTTTGCAGGTGATTGTCATTTAATTATACCATGAGTGAGGTGGCGGCAATGGCATCGAGGCGAGGCGAGGAATTAACAGCTATGGCGAAACAACAATTTTTCGCTTTGTTCGAATCTCTGTTTTTTCACTATTTGGAATTCTCTTTTTTCTCTAGTTATATATATATATAAAGAGAGAGAAATCTCTCTTTGATTTAAAGAGAGAGAAAGATCTCTCTTTGATTTAAAGAGAGAGAAGAGAGGAGAGAGAACAATTTTTACTCTTTGTTAAAGAGAGATAAGAGGAGAGAAACTTAGAAAGAGTGTGCAGGTATGGGGAGAGACAATGAAATATGAGAGATTTTTCTCTCCATAGTTTTAGAGAGAGAAAATAGAAAAGAGAGAAGATTTGAGAGAGAGCAAACTTCTCTCTGTTTAAAGAGGGGGAAGTTAGTGGTGAGATGGAGGCCAGGAAGTTGGCTGGCAATGTAGGTTCAGAGCTATATATGTTGCTGAGGGAACAGGTGAGTGAGTTTGGCCAGGTGTATGAGGCTAAAGAGATGGTGGGAAGGAGTGCTGCGAGGTGGTTTAGCAATGGCAGGTGAGGGGGGGAGCTCAGGTTCAGGTAGGTAGAGGGCTTGGGGAGACTGGCTGAGGAGTAGAGGGAGTGTCGAGTTAGAGGGAGGAGGTCGGCGAGGTTGGGAGATGTTGATGGGATGTAGTCGGAGGGGAGTTTGGGCATTTGGGTTGATGTGGAGTTCAGGTTGACGGGTTCAAGTGATTAGGCATGGGAGAAGCTGAGCCAGCGATTGTACTGGAGTGAGGAAATTCGACAGCAATTAGGTGGTAGGGTTTAGTGGCAGGGAGAAGCAGATGGTTTGAGGCGCAGCAGGATGCCATGCTCAAGTAAGGAAATTAAAAAAGTATAATAGTAATAAAAAGACAATAAAAGATGTCAACATCCCTCACGTAATTTCTCGCCTCACATGTGCCTTGATATGTGTGTCATACCCTCGCTTGCGGCAAATTTTGTAATTTTGCTTGTGCAGCAACCTGGACAATATAGATCTCCAATGTAAGTAATTTTAGTGTTCCACGGCAAAATCCGTTTAGAGACGAACATCATTCAAAACGTCACGCCAACCCATCACCAAATTCAAATGTAGTCACTTGAGTTGTGCGCAAGGGGTCCCTCTTCGCTATTTTTGGTGTTTCAAAAGCAACAATATGGCCTATTTTGTTATCGAAGGATATTCAGATGATTTTGCATGATGTCACGCTCGCCTGCCATCGTGCTTGTTGTCTCTTGGTCGAGCTACGCACGATCAGCTCTTCTCCGATAAATTCAGCTTTGTGAACATGTTCGTGTGGTCCGTTTTGCAAGCACACGATGTTTGAGGGATTTTGCCCACAATTGAGGCTCTTCAAAACAAGTAATATAAGTTATTTGTTGGTTGTCCTTTTAGTCACACTCACTCGAATTTGACTTTGAAGCTTATACAGAGGTCAACAATTGTTTATTTTTTTTCAACTTGTACAAAAAAGAAGCCCAAATCCTTTTTTCAACTAGATTCAGTTACTACAAAAGTAAACCTCGCTTAAGCATGAACTCAAGCTCAACTTAAGCTATTGGCACAAATTCTGCCTAAATGAATGTCGAATGGATAACGTGTACTTCATCTATAGATTAACAGTCACTCCTATAGCAATCCAAAATCTATTAATCAATACAAAACAGGTAAGCACAAATAGATACAGTGACGAAATCTGATTTTAAAAATATTCACGTATATGTTATCACATTGACGGCTATGAGATTACCAAAGCATATTATATACATATATAACAATAAGAAATAAAATGCTTTCTGACTTTCTAGGATTGAACAAATACCCGTGAAAGCCAACATACCTGAATCACAATTTAGAGGGCTATCAGGCTCTGGATGGGCCATCAAGGCAATTATAGCTCTGCAAACAGACTGGAGAGTCCATGCAGGACTCCAAGCATTCTTAAGTATGTCTAGGCAGATCTCCCCTGTCTGCACAGAAAAAAATAATTTACAAATAAAAGAGTCCATCACCACTCAATTAAAGTTAAGTAAACACTTACATAAAAAACGAGCACAAATAATGGCACTGATAAACAGAATAGTCAGAGTCATTTACATAAGAAATTTTTATGACATCAATCATTTAACTGGTTAATAGTGAGAATCAGAACCCCAACTTTTAACAAGGGAGTGTTTTCTAACAAAATTCGGCTATTACATAATACCAACTTTCCATGATCATCGTCATATACCTGCTCCAACTACTTGGCATCAGGTAATTCGTGCTTGGCACATCCTAGTGAAAGGCAATAGGTGGGCACTATTAATCCTAACCAAGGATTGAGGGAGGGCAAAAAAGACTGAGAGAGTATCCAAAAAGAGATGCAAGGAGAGGGAACCAATGACCTAATGTTGAGCAAGAAATGAAAGAAAAGTGAATCAATTGATAAATTGAGACTAAGAGCTAGATGAGGGAGAGAAAATTTAGAGCATCTTCTTCTTCTTCCCTTCCTAATCAAAAAGCAAGGTAACCCCTAACCATAGATTTCTACATCTATGATTTAATATTATGTATTGCAAACTCACTTGCATATAGCTTTGAATAGGATTCACGATGCTTAACCCTGAGTTATTATCTTAATGATTTAACTATGGAAGCCATATAAAAGGAGTATGAGTGTGTTAATTTCTATTTTTAAGAATAAAGGTGATGCACAGGAGTGTGTGAATTATAGAGGAATTCATTACATCAAGGATCAACCTTAAGCTCATATCTTTTTGCTTTAGTCATGGATGTTCTCACTAGACATTTGCAAAAGGATGTACCTTGGTGTATGCTTTTTGATGATGATATTCTTCTGGTTGATAAGACTAGAGAGGGAGTTGAAGGCAAACTTGAATTATGGAGGTCAACCTTAGAGTCTAAAGGTTTTCGCTTGAGTAGATTTAAAACTGAATATATGGAGTGTCATTTTAGTAGCAATAGACCTAGTGAGGGGATTGTGACTTTGGGCGATCAAACCATTAATAAGAGTACACGTTTTAGATATCTTGGATCTATTGTTCAGAGTGATGGTAAAATAGATGGGGATATTATCAGCAGAATTCAAGTTGGATGGTTGAAGTGGAGGAATGCATCGGGCTTGTTGTGCGATAGAAAAGCCCCCCCTCAAACTTAAGGTAAAATTCTATAAGATGGTGGTGAGACCTGTAATGTTTTATGGTGCCGAATGTTGGTCATTAAAAGAGAAGCATAATACTAAGTTAAGTATTGCAGATATGAGGATGCTCAGGTGGATGAGTGGCTTTACCCTTAGAGATAGGATACGAAATGAGCATATACGTGAAAAGGTTGGAGTAGCTCCAGAGGAAGATAAGATTAGAGAGAGTTGCCTTAGATGGTTTGGTCATATTAAACGGAGGCCTTCCGATGACCCGATTAGGAAAGTTGAGGTATTAGATTAGACTTATGTTAAAAAAGATATAGGTAGACCTAAAAAGACTTGGTTAGAAAATATTAGAAATTATATTTTTTTATTAAATTTTAAATGAGAATTTGACTTTTAACATGACACAATGACAAAAAAGGATTCATGTAGCCGACCCCACATAGTGGGACAAAGGCTTGATATTGTTGTTATTGTTGTTGTTGTTGTTGTAGTATTATGAAGTTCGGATAACAAGAAAAGAAATATAAAATCTATAATTCTTTTTGAACAAGTGTTATTCTCTATGAAACTTATTACTATTACAATTAGATGCATTTTATTGAATTGAAGTTTAGAGTATCTAATAGAAATATGTAAATACATAATTAATAAATTCTTGTAGAATGAAAATATAGTCAACTCATGATTAAATTATGCAAGCGATTAACAATGAAATTAATAAGCAGGTTTTATAGCTAGCTATATAGTAGATCATTAGCTCGTGATTATGACTTAGATTAAAACTGTTGTTTAGAGATTATGGTTTAAAATAAACAAGGGCATAAATATTAAGGGATAATCCATGGCTTAGAGTCCTAGATTATCAAAAGGTAAATCAATTATATAAAAATATTTTATTTAAGGAATATTTTAAGATTGTGATTATTGCTTAACATTGTTCATGGTTTCTCCTTTTGCATTATAATAAATGTATGTTTGATATGCATTCTCTTGAGTCAAGATATTGTGAAGCACCATATGTTACTATAGATATATTAGAGTCAATGTCAATCCATTAGATTACCTTTGGAAAATTTCAAGTAGGTGATTTTTAATTATTAAGGTTATAAGGTATGAGCATACCCTTCCTAATTGGAGGAGTTTTCTTTGGCATTTGCCATATGCTTCATTTATTTTGACGTGTGCATTATTCATTCATGAGGTGATATTTTTAGTTAGCTATGCCATATTAACTATCGTATAAATTCATTACTCTTAAAATAAACAATTTGATGGTATAATGCAGACTTTGTACATACTTATCATATAATCTTTGTTATAACATTATAATCATGATATTTTATAATATATGCTTGAATGCTTGATTGATTTAAATGTTTATAATACTCTCTTATTAATATGATTGGCTAGTCGGGCAAATAGTTCCATAGAGTGAAAACTAACTTGGGGATCAATAGTTCCACTAAGTAAAACAACAAGCTATCACAAACAAATGACAATGTATGAAAGGCATAATAGTAAAGGATTAACAAGTCATTTCTAGATGTATGAATATGCTTTGCATGCATGTGGATATTTTGGCATTTGTATGCAATGATTTCAAGTTATTAGTTGCATGATTTCAAATTATTAATTGCATCTTTGAAAAGAGAGCTAGGGCTCATGCTTCAAATATAATGGAAAGATGACTAAGGTTCTATGTTATTTAATTGCTCTAATAGGTAGGGTTTAATTCTTGGATGAGTTATAGCAATAGTTAAGTTGTGTTAAAAATAAAATTTAAAAAAAAATTAAGTTGCCTTTACATTTTTACGGATAAATTAGTTGATGTTATTGGAATAAGATGCTGTCATTTTATTTTTTATAGATATTTATCATTGTGAAAATTTTTCATTTATTGGATTAAAACTCTAAATTTATCAACTCCCCTAATATGGTCAGGTTCATATTGACTTCTTCCAAGCCAGGTTGGCAGGATGTGAAGATCAATGCAGGTAATTAACAAGTTCAAAAATTACATACTCCAACCATCAACCATTCAAATGAAATCAAATACTTGAATCAAAACAGTTGGAATCCAGGTCTGATCTCTTAATCTAAAACTTTAACATGGGTAGGTTCCAAGATTTCAATAAGTTACCAGACACAACCATATTTACACTTCTAACCTAAACAATCGATTTTACAGATATAATGTAGTTATATAAATGATGCAAACGGATAGAGAAGGGCAACTTTCTTCACCTTGAAATGCACATTTGGATGGAAAATTTTTGTCAAAAATCGCACTTGTGGAGGCAGCAAAGGATATTGCTCTGGGATAGCAAAGGCTAGCTGAAAAACTCCACCTTCATAGGGAGTTTCAGAAGGTCCCTACAAATATAAGTAAATACATTAGCTGCTATGGAAAAACAGTATAAACTCAGACTAATGGCGTTACCTTGATTAGAGCAGTCCATTTGAATATGTTTGAATCATCACAAACTAACTGAATATCCGGATCAACTGACTTTTCACGCTGCACCTCTTTGTATTCCTTAAAAAGTCTTGCCCTTGATGCCTGCCGACAATTTTAATTATCAATAAGTTTGAAAAGGGTACAAACAAAAGTTAGCATCAAATGAAAAACTCAATAGATTTGTCTTTTAGATAATAAAATACTATATTTGAAAGGAAAAAGTCAAGATCAGTCTTTCAGATAACAACACTATAAGAAAGGATATGCACATACGTTCATATATATAACTTCCCCTCAGCAATGAAGTTCAATAGGCAATTAGTAAAACGGATGAAGAGAAGAAGACGAGTCCGTACATATATATAATTATTTATATCGATAAAGATAGGACTAGTATTCTTCAACCATTCTTTTTCTTTTTGTGGCTAGAATATAGGTGGATTACAAAAGGCACATAACTGGAACTTCCCATATATTTCACAAATCTGAAAGCTCAACAAACTTAAAATACGTTAACTATTATGATTAAGCCTAATAAGCAAAAAATTGGACCTGAAAACTGTACAGATTTTGTCCATAATTTTAACAGGTGAGTCTCCGAGGGATTCCCATTCTAGCAGTGGTATCAAAGTGTTAAGGGACGGCTAGGATTTAACACTAAGCAAAAGTTCAAGTATTTTCTTGTTATAAGCATCACTTCCACTTGGTTCGAAATAAGATAATGCAGTTCCATAATGAAGATTTTCAATAACTTAGAAAATTGTTTGTATATGTATATTATTTCTAAAATTCATATCCCGTATCAAAGTTAAGGTTTAAGCAGGTGGAAGACAATTAAGGTTCCATAAATGGTCCTGTTTAGTGCACTGAAAATAAGAGAGCTCCCTATCGTCAAGTTAATCCACCTATTTTAGACATAGGAACTCAACAAGATGGGTCACATCGAAGAAGGTTAAATCTAGTTAATACTTCCTAGGTCCTCACCCAAGCCCGATTTGGCCAGATAAGAGGCGCACATCTGAGATATCCAAAACCGAAAAGGTTACAGAACAGGTAGAATCAACCTGGTTTCAACAAGTCAATTTGTTCAGGTTAGGCAGTTTCATGTTGATCCTCTAGCCACCAAAGTCATCCAACAAAGAGTCTCAGGACCAACTTGGGGCAGCCCAAGTAAATAAATCAGGCAAGGTCTACTCTACTGTAATTCTAAGCATACCAGTTGAGTGCCCAGACTTGTGCCCCAGTCTACAATAATTTTGTAATTATACTAAATGTTGAATTGGAAAAGCTATCCCAATTAAAAAAAGAGTTTATGAAGATCATATAGCAAATTTCAAATGAAAATGCAAAAAATAAAAGCTTCAGAATGCAAAGCCAGAAGGATCCACCAATATTCTGCAAGTATATGCAACAAATGCCTCAGAAAAATATGCAACACACAAATGGATGATGAAACCATTTAACAAAAGGATATATATATATATATATATAAAAGGATGAGTTGATGACCTGCATTTTTTTCTTCCGACTTTCTTTTAAAGAGCTTGAGAGGAAGGAAAACTGATCTTTAAACTGCATCAAAATAGTTTTCTTGTATGTTAGTACTTACAAAAATGAGTGTCATGGATTCAATTGTAGTTAAACAATGAAAAACACTTCCAGCAAACGCATATCAAATATCAATAACAACTAAGAGTTGTATAAAAAAAGACCCAAGCATCTATTGTTTAGATGTGGGTATAAAAAAGGAAGAAAGTCAAGCAACCCCTCTAATGCGACCAGTTTAAGACGATCTAATACTCTTGTAAATGTAACCATAAACTTTTTATAGTGAGAAGGAATCAATTCAAATAAATAGGAAGACAGAAAATAGAATCATTGTTGCAGATGTAAGTCCTTATGTTGACAAGGAAGGCAAACTTTTTAAAGCATGGTGATGCCGGCTCAAAATCAAAATGAAAATCAAGCATGTAAACACTAGTGAAAGAGAAGGTGATTTTCCATAGGTTTAGAAAGAAGCGGTCTAATTGATTGATTATTAGATTTAAAAACATAAGCATTTATCCAACCATAATAGATGACATTCAATTGGTATAACGATGTGATTTTCCTAATAAAATTCTTGTTAATTCTGTAGGTAGAACGTCACATCAAATTGTACATGAATAACCACCTAATTAAAGTGGAACTAAACATCTTCAAGTGTCCAGTGAGTTGTTTTATTAATCCATGCTACATAACGAGGTTAAGGATGCTATTCTAGTGTCATCGAGCATCACCTTAGACTGGATTCCGAAGTAAAATTCATTATTCTACCAAGTACCAAAAATTACTAAGCAGCGTCTCACGTCTTCATAAGGTCCATATGGTATGTCTTAGATGGCATAAATTGGTCACACACAAGTTCTATGTGGACAATGAGAAGCCACATGAGCAGTTTGTCAGCAACTAAAACATGTAGATTCAGTCATTGGTTTTATTTGGGACATATCTTATTTTAGCAGTAGGGTCGATCTTTTTTGGTTTGTGCTAGCCTAATGGTAAGCATATGCTAAGCAATTATTTTTAGCACTGAAAACAAAGTTATGCATAGGGCCCGAAAAAGATTAAGGGATACATACCTTACGTCTTGATATTTTTCAATTTATATGAACTCATGAAAAGCATCTTCAAGTGAAGTAGATCAATGTAAGTCTACTTGCATTTTGATATCTTGATGAAAAACATTTACAAATCAAGCCTTTTTTCCATTCTTCCACAATGTGATTATGGCGTGAAGGCAAGTCCTTAAACTTGTTCAAGTGATAGGAAATAGAAATAAACCCTTGACACAAGTTATGTGATTTCATGAGAAGGTATTCTCAGTAATATTGTGGAACATATTTATCTTTCAATTTATGTTCCATGAGTACTCAACTTTGAACAAGTTGGTCAGCATATGTGAAGGATTCAGATAAAATGTTTCTCCAAAATTTTTTAATGAAGCCGATAAATTTAGCAAGTGCTAAATGAGCTTTTCATTCCATAAATATTGGTTCCAATCAAAATAGTCATCAATAATTGTTATCCATGCAAGAAAAACATCAAGATCATATCTTCCATCAAAAGTCAGGCAATCTAATTTAACATTTTTTTAAAAAAATTGCCATATCCAGCAACAGCAACAAAAATTTGATGATTGTCAAATTGTAGGCCTTGATCATAATGTTGTTATTTGTTGGGGTTGTCTATAATGTCATATAGGTTGTCAACTTATGCCAACGTACTTGTTATATTGCCATGCAAGAAAAGCATCAATATCATATCTTCCATCAAAAGATCACTTTGTTGATTTTGTTGTCTTAAGGGAATTGTGTTTCCATAAGGAAAACAACGACGAGTTGAAATCCCATAATTATTTTATATGGAATTCGATGAGGGTGCATTCTTTGAATCATTGGTGACGGGAAACTAGATGGTCAAGAATGTATAGTGCATTTACATTTAGGCTCTAACGTAAGAGTTCTTTGTCATTGTTTGAGCTTGTAGAGAGGGAAGGGGCCCTATTGGTATTATTACTATTTTAACCTCCTTCGTCCAAGTTGATTGATGCTAAGGATTAAGGGTTACATGTTTGTGGTCAAGAACTTCATTTGTTCTTTAATGGATGCAGTTTTCTCAAAAAATTCCTCTATGTTTGTGATTTTCTTGACCTTTTCATTAATAATGTTCATTATGCTGCTATGACATATTCAATGGTCTTAAATTGTTAGCTGTGTTGCCTTGCTTAGTCATTCATTATGCCAATACATCTATGTCCTCTTTCAGTTGTTTAGATACCATTTTGATGGATTAAGTAATGCAACTACAAAGCAGAAGCAAAAAATTGAATGCAACCTACAAAAATTCTAATAATGATATAAATATCTAATAGTGCAAATACTGAAATTATATGAAATCTAAAATTACAAACATTCATTAGAATATAAATCATGGTGCATCAGGTAGAATAATCAAGAGATTGTTAAGCAAATATGATTTTGAATTGATTTTAATATTTCATGAGCATGAAGCTAATATAATGGTGACAAGCGGGAAAAAAAAGAATAAGCAAAAAGGTTTGTATGAGTTGCAATAATAATATGACAAATGTGTATAGGACAAATTCAGGCATTTGCCCAAAGAGGTAGGGCAAAAGATCCAACTAGGTCATATGAATTTTTTCCTAAAAAATAAATAGAAATTTAATAAAGAGTATACCATATCACAATACACAATAGAATCACTACCAACAAAGCAATGTTGTACATGTTAAGCCCACCCTATCAAGTTTATGCTTTCCCCAACCACAATTAGCGATACTTAGACATTGATAAGTGTTGATCGCTTGTGAGAAAGCCAGTGGCTTCGGACCGCATGTTAAAAGATAGTGATCTGAGATGAACCAACAATTACGTAGGAGAACAAAGGTGAGGACTGTTAGGACTGTAGTGAGAATAGAGGCAATAGCCAACATGATGGTGGAGCATTGTTGTGTTCAGAATAGTTAAGAACAACATAGGATAGAATAGATTGGCATTCCATGGTAGGCGGTAGTGGGTGCAAGCATACAAAAGGAGGTTGGGCATGGCAACAACTAAAAACAAAGGCTGGTCAAATTCAGCATTGCAATGATTATTTGGTTTCACATGTAGGAGTGTGGGCGAGCAGTATAGGCAAGTGCTGAGAGCTGTAGCAGCATGTGCTAGGGAAAGGAGAGCAAAGCAGCTGAGTTGGAAAGCAGAGTGATGCGTGCACAGCGGAGGGTGGCAAGTGATGCACGAAACAGAGATATAATGGAATGGGAAGCTGTAAGCAACTGTGGCAGGTGGAGGAAAGAACATGCATGACTTGCAAATATGGGAAGTGTGATTAATGGAAGCAGGTTTCAGCTTGGCTAGAAGGGTGGTGACGGGATGAGTAATGGACAGCGAGAACAGGGGCAGCGCACAGCGAAATATCAAAAAGCAGCGCTCTGATACGAGCCGATAAGGCGATAGGAAAACTCAAATTTACATTCAATTTTCATAAAATTACACTCAAGTCCCAAAAATTTTAGATCATAAAATTACACTAAAGTACAAACTTCAATAAAAAACGCAAACAGCGTAGAAAATTGTAAAATAATTGGAATATAGACTAGTCTATCAACAAGCACAGCACGGGATAAAGCCTGATCTATCAGTTATCTGTCTCCTGTGTAATATCGAAACTAAGCTTATACGGCTGTATTGCATCACTTAGGGGCTGTTGGGATACAGGATTTATGCAGGATTTGAGCAGTAAAAGTCAAATCTCAAGGCGAAATAAATCCTCCGTTTCCCTTTTTCGCCGTAAATTTCAGATTTAGTAAATCCGAGAGTTCGGCAGTTTTTTAAGGATTTGGACGAAGAAGCGCGCGCGAAAGGGGAGAAATATGGTTACCTTCGCAGCGAGCCAGCTCCGGTCGTCACTTCCGATACAAGAGGAAGAACGGAGGACTGTCGCGACTTAAGATCCACAGAAAGAACGTCGTCGAAAGAGGAACTTTTATTTCGTCCGGTGTAAGGATGCAGAAAAATTAATAAGGCCACGGCTTCCTATTAATTCTTTAAAAAAAAAATTAGACAGACCTAACACCCCGCCCCCCCAACTTTTATTTGGTCATGCAGAGGAACATCCAAAATCCCGTCTATATCAAAATGTACCGAGTTTTTCGGTCGGAGGACGTAATAATTGTTCTCCCCAAATTTTTATTTGATCCGGTGTAAGGATGCAGAAAAATTAATAAGGCCACGACTTCCTATTAATTCTTACAAAAAAAATTAATACAATAATTAAAACTTTTATATTAAAAATTTACTTTAAAAAGCAGGAAGAAAATCATTCCAAATGAATCCTAAGTGAGATATTTGGATAAATATATATGTCAATTTAGACGTGTCACCTCACTCAACCTAATAAACTAAATTGGGTGATATGGGCGTCTAGACTAAACTCCGGATGCATTCGAACATTGCATATAATAATTTTTAGAGCAGAATAATCCCCAATATAAATCATGTGGTTTTTCTCTTGTTATTAATCAACATTATGAGTAACATGTTTTAAGATTCAGATTTTATTTGATATGATTTTTTTATTATTTTTAAAAGATATTTTTTATAAATAACTTTTTAATTCAAAATTTTTTTTATTAACAAGATAGTTAAAAAAGCGATAAGAAAGTCATATCGAATAAAATATTAATAGAATTGTTACGGACTAGATTATACGCGGCGATAGAGTTTTAATTGTTCGTCTTAGCGTTATACGGATACCCAGTTCACACACAGAGAACACAATATTTTTTACGTGGAAAACCCTTGAAAGGGGAAAAACCACGGGGCCTAGCCCAGTTGAAAATATTTCACATTGGACTTTGGCGATCAATCATTATAAGAGTTACATCGTTTTTAGAATTATCTTGGATCTATTGTTAACGAGCTGGATGGTGAAATAGATGGGAATTATCAGCAGAAATTCAAGTTGGGAATGGTTGAAGTGGCGGAATGATCGGGCTTGTTAGGATAAAATGTGACCTCTCAAACTTAGGGGATAAATTCCTAAGAGATGGTAGTGAGCTGCAATTGTCTTATGGTGCCTGAATCGTTTGTGCCAATGTAAAAGAGAAGCATAATAGCTAAGTTTAAGTGTGCAGAGATGAGGATGCTTAGATGATGAGTGCTTCTACCCTTAGAAAGGATACGAAAATGACATATACGTAAAAGGTTGGAGTATGCTCTACTAAGAAGATAGATTAGAGAGATGCGCCCTTAGATGGTTTGGTCACCATTAAAAAGGCGCCTCTCGTTGACCCGTTAGGAGAGTAGAGTATTAATTGACTTGTGTTAAGAAGGTAGGGGTACACCTAAAAGACGGTTAGAAAATATAGGAATTTCCTTCTTTATTAGATTAAACGAGGAATTTGACCTTTAATAGGACAGTTTGTAGAAAAAAGGATTCTGTAGTCCGACGCCCACGTAAATGTGGGATAAAGGCTGATGTTGTGTTGTTGTTGTAAGTCTTACTTAATGAGTTATGTCTGTAATTAATATTAATAACAATAAATACCTATACATTTAAAGGTACACACTAGAGACAGTTCACAATGCTAGGTTATCTGAGTTAGCTTGGGGACCAAATAGATTAAGTAAATATTATCAAATATTTATGGTCAATGGTTATAATTCCAAAAAAAAATTTCGTAGTAGTGAGGTAGGAAGACAGAAAATTCTGACGTATGTGTAAGAGGAGACACCATACAGGGGATGATTCTGAATACTACGGGGTATTACAAGAAATATTATAGAGGTTGAATATCCGATCATAATAACACTGTCTATCTCTTCAATTGTGAATGGTTTGATCCAGTATCAAAAGAGGAACGAAAGTTCATCCAATTTATGGTATAATAGAAGTAAAGGGCTAGGAGATATGCAAAAGTTTGATCTATTCATCATTGCTAGTAGGCAACTCAAGTCTATTATGCTAACTATCCAAGCGGAATACGAGGCAAATAGGATTGGATGCGTAGTATAAAGACCAAAACAAGGGGTAATTGAAAACCACTTGTGTACCATCAACACATCAAAAGAGTTTTATGTCTAATTTAAAAAATCTCCCAATCAATGTAGATGACCAAATCAGAATTAATGAGAGCAGTTGCAGTTAGATGAGTGGTAGATCTAACATAGAGGAAAGTAATGATGAATCTTGATAGTGCTGAGAGTGTATCACTCTGATGAAAGTGAACAACAAATGATGAGTTAACAACATAAGGTAAATAAATTTATTTTTGCTACTGCACTGCATTTATTTTTATTTTCCTAATTTACTTCACGCGTGATTTATTATTATTGTCTCGCTTATTTTTTCTTAAATTTTGTATAAGACTCTTGTATTTAATTATTTCTTTTTTATTTATTGTGCAGATGGCTTTCAGGTGAAGAGTCTAGTAGAGGATTAATAAAAAAATTTTTTAACAGACGCACTAAGAAAGTTACAGTTGAGACCAAGACTAGGACAGTACGTACTGAGGGGACCACCACGTCTCAGCCTGCTACACAGCCTTAGCTTGCTACACAGCCTCAGCCTGCTACACAGCCTTCACCCCACCTTGGAGCAGTAGCTCTCAGTTTTACTCAGCAGACCCCGATTATCCTTCACCAGATCCCGGGCAGAAGTACTCTTTCTACCCATACTCAACACCCCCACCATTAGGTGTGCCTCCTACTTATCATTTTCAACCATATGCCCACCATTAATCTCCACACCTCATCAGCCCATACAGCAGTCGGAACCTCAAGCAGCCAGACCTTCGACCAGCAGTTGCAGCAGAGCAGCGACAGATAGTTAGAATGATGATAGACTATCCTGAGGGTGACACGTTACGCACTACTCTTTTAAGATTCTAGTAGAACGAACAGTTGTATTATGGGGGTGTGTATTTTATATTTGTTCACAGCACTTATTGTGTAGTGTTTTTATAGTTCTACCATCAAAACAACCGACAAATAATATACGGACATCATACGAGCAGGTTGACGCTCCTTATAATTTCTTTGAAGAAAAGTCCCGAAAGAAGTCCGGGAGATGTGGTTTAGAGAGTTGAGATATTTTTGGTTTTATTTTTTATGTAAAATGATTTACTTTTTACTTAATCTAAAATCTTATATATTATATATCATAAATGTATTTGAATGCAGAAAGAATTTTGTTGGCTGCCTGCAACACAAATGACAAGATTAGAAAGAATTTTGAGAAGCGTGGGTCTACTCGGATGCGTGACATGTTCATAGATATAGAAAGCAGTGGGAAGCGACCATTGTGGATTGGAGAGGATATATGGCTGAGTTGAATGCAGCTGGGACAGCGAAGATACACTAGGAGGAGGGATCAAAATCGACAGAACAAGAGCTTCTGATGTTGGGGGCTTGGGTAGTTCACTTCATACAGAGGACTCCGTTCCACAATACTGAGCAAGCGTCATCTTGCGTAATGAATTTTAAAATATTTTTAAAATGTTCTTTAATTTGTATTTAATAAAATTCTCCTTAATTCTCATAGAAAAGGAACGCTTGGTAGAGAACAACTGCTGTGGATTGCATAGTCGCACTCATATGTGATAGGAGGATCAACAATGGATGATGAAGCTAGGAAGCCATGTAAGTATATATTTTATATGTGTTTAATAATTTTTTTTTTAGTTTAATTATATAATATTTATACTCTACTTTCACAGAGGAAATATACACGGCTTCGAGAGAGTCAATGTTGCGTATGCAGGTGAGGCTCTTCTGCGGCTCTGTGGAGTTTTTCTGAGTATCGCCAATCTGGCGTAGGCCGTC